ATTTCTTGCTTCTGCCACAAATTCCGCCAGCTGTGAGCCTTCCAACCTTCTAAGTATTCCTTTATATGTGGTTCAGAGTTCTGGGACCATCCCCTGAACCTGCTTGGTCGGGTATTCTGTGTTGTTGTTGACGGAGCTCTCTGCTATATGTCCACCCGATCCACCATCTTGTTTGTTCTCCCTGATTGCCTTTTATGGTGAAGTGTCTGTTCATGAATTGGACTATTTGCCTTTTTCTTATTAAGATGTTGAAAGTGTTCTATCTTTGTCTGGTATGTCATTACCAAATTTTTTTTCCCAGTCTGTGGCTTTTCTTTTTACTCCTTTGGTGAATTCTTTTGATGCACGTAAGTGTCTAATTTTTAGGAGGTCCCAGTCACCTAGTTTGTTAATATATTTGCTGCTGTTAGTGTGTTTTCAGTTATGTTTGATAGTATATTTGTGCCATCTATTAGGGTCCCTAAGTTCCCATTTTTTCATTTATCATTTTTATAGTTCTAAGTTTTCCATTTAGGTGTTTGATCCATCTTAAGTTCATTTTTGTAGATTGTGTGAGATTATGGGCCCTGTAAATGGATATTTAGTTTTGCCAACACCAATTTTTAAAGAGACTATCTCTTCCCCATTTAAACTGTTTCATCCTTGGTCAAAGATCTGCTGTCTATAGGTGGCTGTATTGACTAATGGGTTCTCAATTCTGTTTCATCTATGTGTCTTTCATTGTGACAGCACCAGCCTGTTTTGACCACTGTGATTGTGTAGTAGGTTTTGAGATCAGAAAGCGAGAGGCCTCCTACTTTGTTCTTTAATACTGCTCTGCTTATCCTGTGATCTCTTTCCTTTCCATATAAAGTTGGTGATTAGTTATTGCATTTCTTTAAAGAACGATGTTGGAATCACCAGGCCTTTCTTTTGAGGTGCCCTTGGTGGATGGAATCAGGTTTCCAACCTTTTGGTTATCAGCTGAGGGACGTGTACTGTGAGCAGGAGGAACAGGTGTCTGTAGGCTGACTGTGACTGGGGACACAGAAGGCCCCTCTGAGGATGTGATATTTGGGAAGGTGAACTGACATTAGTTAAGGAGCCCTAGTAACGTAGTAGCGTAGTGTTTATGAATCGGGCTGTGAACCTCAAGGTCAGCACAGGAAAAAGATGAGGCTTTCTGCTCCCTTAAAGATTTACAGCCTCACAAACCCTATGTAGAGATACATGTATCCATGATTTATTTCTCCGACTAGCGGTCAGATCTGATTTATTGTTGTATCTCCTAAGTGTCTTAACATTGTGTTTTGTAGCTTTGAGTTCTTGTTTATTGAACAGAAAGATCAAACTGTGATCCACACAGACTGGGTTATACGCAAAAGAGAATGTAAAAGGTCCCCGGAGACCTGCTAATCAAAGTCAGTAGAGAATGATGGCTGGGCTATGTGACCAATGACACACTTCACCATCTGGATACATGTAAGTTCATTAGCGAACGTCCCAGTGTTCCAAAAAGCAAGAGCTGTCAGGTTTACATTCCGGTAGCCAGAATGTCTGACTAACAAAAAGTTCACAGCCTGGGGAACAGAGCTCCCCCACATTGCAGGAGCTGAGAGGTTCTACAGTGAGAGCCTTGGGATGGTAAAATGTGGTGGCCTCGCTTCTAGTTTAAGTGAGGAAGTAGTACAGCCGCTTCTGGGATGGACTTACTGACATATCGCATGATTTCTCTTCCCAATAGCCGCTGTATGTGTCCCGCTGAGAACACCGGCTGCAGAGACCAGCCCTTCACTATCTTGTACCGGGACATGGATGTGGTGTCGGGACGCTCGGTTCCTGCTGACATCTTCCAAATGCAAGCGACGACCCGCTACCCTGGGGCCTATTACATTTTCCAGATCAAGTCTGGGAACGAGGGCAGAGAATTCTACATGAGGGTAAGCGCCAAGTGGTGAGCAGCGGTCGACACTTTTATTAGTGGAGAAGTGTGGCCTAGCCTGGGAACGTGGTGTGACCTGGTGAAAGATCATTCACTTCTATGACCTTTAGGAATCCTCATCTGAAAAGTGAGGAGGTGGACCAACATGCGATCTCAAGTGGCTTCTAAAATTCTGTGGGAGAGGCAGGCACATACCTATTTACCCTTCCACCCATCTGAGAAATACTTACTGGACACTCACTTCTAGGGACAGTGGTGGTTCAGCAGTAGAATGCTCACCTCCTATGTGGGTACCTAGGTTCAACTCCCAGCCAGGGTACCTAATGCCCATCCACCTGTCTGGCTCCTGTTTAACAGTCAGTGGAGGTTTGCATGTTGCTGTGATACTGAACAGGTTTAGGTGGAGCCTCCAGGCTAAGATGGGCTAGGAAGAAAGACCTGAAGATCTCCTTCTGAAAATCAGTCCATGAAAACCCTGTGGATCACAATGTTTACCCAGCAGCTGCAGGGATGGCACAGGACCGGGCATTGTTTTGCTCCATTGGTAGCATAGTGGTTACGAATTGGGCTGCTAATCTCACCATCAGCAGTTCGAAACTACCAACTGTTCTGCGGGAGAAAGGTGAGGCTTTCTGCTCCCGTAAAGATTTATAGCCTTGGAAACCCTGTTACAGGGTCGCTATGAGTCAGAACTGACTCCACGGCACATAACAACAACAACATATGGCCATGATAATTCGAGGAATAACCCCACGGCAGCCAACATCAACCATATGCATCTGTAGAAACTGAGACTGCCTCAGAGAGCAAATCATCCCAAATCACTACCCTTGTGGTGATTCCATGCTAGGGACCATAAAGGCCTGGCTCATACAAGCAGACTCTACTTGCATCGTCAACGTAGTAGCCACAGCTACATGTGGCTCTGTAAATGTAAATTTAACAAATGAAAATGAAGCACAATTCAGATTTGAGTTTCTCAGTGGCACTAGCCACATCTCAAGTGCTTAGTAGCCATGTGTGACTACTGTTTTGGAGAGTTTAGCTATAGAACATTTACGTTGTTGCAGAAAGTTCTATTGGATAGCCAATGAATTATCCATAGCAGTAAAAACATTGTAGAACCCAAACCAAGACAACAACAACAACAGCCCATTGTCACTGAGTCAATTTCAACTCATATAGAAGGTTTCTGAGACAGTAAATCTTTATGGGAGCAGATAGCTTCATCTTTCTCCTGCTGGTGGCGCTGAATTACCCTCATTGTGGTTAGCAGCCCAATGCCTTAACCCACAGCCCCACCAGCACACAGAGCAAAATAGGTTTGTTTGTTTATATATTATATACATGTCTGGTAGCGTAATGGTTATAAGTTGGGCTGCTAACCTCAAGGTCAGCAGTTCAAAACTACTAGTCATTCTGTGAGACAAAGTTGAGGCTTACTACTCCTGTAAAGATTTACAGCCTTGGAAACCCTACACAGGTGAGTCAGAACCAACTCCATGGCACACCACCATCACCATGATACTTGTTATTGTTGTGAAATGTCATCGAATTGGTTCTGACCCATAGTGACCCTGTATAGGGTTTCCGAGGAGCAACTGGTGAGCTTGAACCACCGACCTTGCAATTCAAATGGCTTTGCAGTCTGGCACATTAATGCACAGCACCACACCAGGACTCCGATGCTATACCATGTATATTCTTGAACTTCATCTTCTGGTCCTCCTAGGGGTAATCACACCTCTCTCTAGAGACCGCAAGATTGATGTTTGTCACATGATAGTGTGAGTGCAAATCATCTAGAGCATTTGTCCAAAAAGCAGATTCCAGAACTTCATCTCCAGAGAATCTATTTCAGAAGACCGTAGGTTCGGTCCAGTGTTTTACAGGTGGAGTGGTCAGTAGGGAATGTCCCTCACTGGAAGTATCTGTTCATGCCTTGATTATCACAGCAACTAGGGAGCCCTTGACACTCACAAAGCTGAGCCGTGTATGGCTTATGTTCTTTCTGTCGAGAATGTTGAGAAGGGCCCTGATGCTTTGATATTTGTCTGGAAGAATGTACCAGGATGCTGCCGGGACCTACTTTGTTAGAATGTCTAAAGGGGAGATGGGATGACTTGGAGCAGCCGTGGGCAAGAGGAGATGGTTCCTGGCTTGAAAGGTTCAACGGATTGTAGTTGGGAAGAGAACACAGGTGTGTGGGGCCCAGTTAGGTGCCAGGGCAGGAGGGTTAGGAAGACAGAAGTCTGATAAGGATGGGCTTCCAAGGGTTCATGCTGTCCAAAGCTACAGGACACCCAATCAGGAGCTTCAACTGGAACCAGACTGAAGTGCTTCCAGTTGTTACCCTACAGCTACCAGCTGTGTGACCTTGAGCATATTACCTAACCTCTCCGAGCCTCATTTTCCTCATTCATAAAAAAAGGATAATAATAGTCTTTACCTTAGGATTAAGTGAGATCATCTACTTAGTGCAGTGCCTGGAACAGAGAACAACTGTCTTTATCAAATAAGCAGGATTTATTTGGGTGAAATCTTAGAATCGGTTCCTTTTTCTTATGCTGCTCTTTCCCACCTGCTCTCTCTGCCCACCTAGATGACAACTTAGGTTGATCCCCTAGGATTCCCAGGCACATTCAGTAACTTTTGAATTGTCCATTCCCCATGTTCAAGGTCTGTGCTGGTTCAGATGGGACCTTCAGTCTCTCCACTCCCCCCTCTCCCTCCCCCCTGCAATGGGAAGCTCCTCCCTTTCTCCTGGGAGGGGTGGGGGCTGGCCTCTTGCTGCCTTCTTCCTCTTCCACTCCTCTCCCTCTTTGTAGATTGTGGTCTCTGGCTCCTTCAGGGTTGGGGTTGAGTACGGCTGTTGGGAGGTGGGAAGGCTAGGGGACCAGGGTCTTACTTGATAGCTGCATGGTAACCAGGAGCCTGCTCTCTCTGGGGCTCGCTACTGACCATTCCCTGCTGTGGGTGTTAGGGCCCCTGGTCCCCAAACCTCTCTGCATCTCTTGCTGGTGTTCTGTCCTCAGGCTTTCTGTGGCAGGCACACCTTACCCAAGGGCCTTTGGGACACTAACACCAGCTTTTGTATCAACAGAAAACCCTCTGACATTTCATCTTGGCAACACTAGTAGTGATGTCGGTAGCCTTATGCACTCCTGTCTCCTCACTGTGGGGTGGGGGCAGCTCCGGGGCACCCACCACTAACTTGTAGTAGAGGGTCAAGCTTTGCTCTCTGTGTCCTTAAACTCAGGGGACACACATCTCTGGACACTTCCCTCAAAAACCCCTCATTTGAGGTGTAGATGGAGAGAGGGTTTAAGAAAACACATGTAGTACGCTGGAGGTGGTCACAGAGGATCTAGCCCTGGTTTGGGGTTGACCCCATGCAAGTCCTGTGTATCAACTACCAGAAAAACAAGACCAAATCAGTTGCTGTCAAATCAATACTAACTCATGTCAACTCCTTGTGTGTCCAAGTAGAATTGTGTTCCAGTAGCTTCTGTCTCACCTTCCAGAAGTCCAATGTCTTTTCTTCTGAGGTGGACTCAAACCAGCAACCTTTCAGTTAGCAACCAAGCATGTTAACCATTTGTGCATGTTATCAGGAGGGACCAGCCCCTGGAGAAGGACATCCTACTCGGTAAATTGGAGGGTCAGTGAAAAAGAGGAACACGCCCAACAAGCTAGGTTGGCACAGTGGACTCAGCAGTGGGCTCAAGCATAACAGTTGTGAGGATGGTGCAGGACTGGGCAGTGTTTCCTTCTACTGTGCTCAGGGTCGCTGTGAGTTGGAGTTACTTGATGGCACCTAACACCAAGTGGCCTATAACAACATGGATAGCAAAATTGCAGCAACGATAAACTAGGTACACTTTCATACTCACCATTTCCCATGCTGTCTATGCACCAGCCCCTTAATCTTTACAACCCTCCTCTGGTAAGCCTCTGAAAAGACTCAAGTTGTTCCCAACTCACTGTGACCCAATAGGAGCGAGAAGAACTGCCTGGTAGAGTTTCCACAAGAGAGCCCTCATGGCACTCAGTTAAGAACTTCACGGCAAACTGAGAGGTTGGTGGTTTGAATCTACCAGGCACTTTGTAGGAGAAAGCTATGTCAGTCTGCTTCCATAAGCTGACAGTCCTGGACACCCTAGGGAGAAGCTCTGCTCTTTCCTACGTGAGTTGGAACTGACTCAAGGGTAACAGGTTTTGTTTGAATTTTAATGAAAGCCAACTGCCACACCTGTCTCCTGCAGAGTGGCTGGAGGGTTTGAACTGCCAACCTTCAGTTAACAGTCGAACACAAACATTGTGACAACAGGGCTTCTACAGGCCCCATTTTATCATGCTGATTTTATACGTGAGAACATTGAGGCACAGAGAGGCTAAGTAACTTGGTCAAGGTCTCAACAGAGCTAGTGAGCACCAGAGTAGAATTCACAACCAGGCCATCTGGTACCAAAATCTGTACTCTTACACTGTTCTTCAAAATATGGGAAATTTTCACCGACTCTTCTAGCTTTAGACTCCTAGTGCGGCACTGTAGGATCAGCATGGGACTATGAACCACAAGACCAGTGGTTCAAACCCACCAGCTGCTCCTCAGAAACCCTATACAGGGTGACTATAAATTAAAACTGTCTTGGTGACACTTGACATAATGCAGACATGCATACAGACACAAGACACACATGCACCACATAAAAACATGTATACACACAACACACACACACAGAGGCACACACATAACACATCTGCACACATAAATACATGCACATATATAATGCACATGTGCACGCACACTCACACTATAACACAGATGCATGCACACACACAAACACATGTACATATGTAATGCAGACACAAATCCATAGCACACCGGCACACATATATACATGCACATACAACCACACAATACACAACATACAAACACATGCAATACCAACACACATGCACACACACAAATACATAATGCAGACACACACATAC